TGTTCCCTGAGAGGATTTGGATATCCCCTAATAGTCGCAGTCACCAGACATTCAACATGATGTTTCTTCATTAAAATAACACATTTAGAGCAGTGCGCAGGCTTGGCCGAGGTACTAATGGTGCTCACTGAGCACGAGTGGTTTTATTTTTTTATGCACCAACAGCACCAGTTTTCTCCTTCTTCTCTTGGCATACGTGTCATCTTTTGCTCTCGGCCTCTTTCCTCCCTGCCAGAGAACCAACTGTCTAATTTCATCATTCAGCACTTGCCAAATTGCCAAATAGAATTATGGCTGTCAAATATGAGAGATAATTGCTGCTTTTTCCCGTCTTACACCCTCTACTCGTTCCGTATCCGATCCTCCCATGTCGCTCTCTGGTGCACTGCCAAACTTCATTGAATCTGACAAGTTTCCCAGCTAGTTTTCTATATATGGTCATTAATTGTGGTTAAGGGTATAAATCTGCAGTGTGCTTGGTGTCAAAACTGTAAATGTATCTTCTTCTCTTCCAAAACGTGGGAAGTATCCTTTTCTCGCAGAAAAAAACGGATTGGCTTGTATATTTAACAAAGTCTATTTCATTCCTCCGACATTGTCCCGTGAACTTTGAAACATTTCCTGCTCAAACCAAAACGAAATGGTTCTCGGGAGAGTAATGTGGGCTAAGTAGCTAAAGACTCAGGGATGTCTTGTCAGGCTGTGATTACTTAATCACCAAGCCCGTACGATATCAGAATATTCAATCAGCTGGCGTTAGTTGCAAGTGGCAAATGCAGACAATGGCCAATGTTGCCCCGACCCCACTAAGCCCTCTGTATGAGAACCCTGGAACTGGATTATCCTGCAATGAGCAGCGCAAGCCTCCATCGGCTAAGACCTCTGTGGGAGAAAGCAACTCGGGATCAGTCCAAGCCCTCAGCGAGAGTGATTGGCAGCCGGGGGAACATCAATGCTACCGCCGCCTTACTTTGAGTCTCTTGTCAATAACACAACTTGACACACGGGGGGGACGGGGTGAGGAGAGGGAGGACAGAAGATGGAGAGAGAGAGAGAGAGAGAGAGAAAGAGAGAGACGCGTGGAGGTCGAGGCGACTTGTCTGGTTTAAAGTTCTGTATCGATTGACATAATACCGAGAGAGGGTGAAATACCAGGAGGTTCATTCTATGGTTTCTGAAGGTTTGTGTGTTAAACTTAAATACGTGTGTTTGATGAGGTAACGAGGCAGCGGGATGCGGGCGACGGAATACAGTTAAAATAAGCCTCTGACGTGTCAAGGTGGCCTGGATGTGAAGCTTAGAGTGATTATAAATGGAATCATTAACTCACCGCAGGAAGATAGTCATTAAGACACGCACGCTTGACCTGGCTTATTCTAAGTGTGCGAGAGAAGAGAAAGAGACACGATGTGATGGAGGGAGAGATTTCCCTCATCCACAGTCACATTAAAGACTCACTTCTGTTAACTATGAGAGTATGCGGCCAAAGTGGTTACGCAGCTCAGCAACACTGGAGGTTTTTCACAGAACGATATTCTCCAATATTCATGGAAGACAGGTGCTTAGAAAGCACCCAAACTGATGTCCAGAACAATGAATCTTTGTTCCAGTCCAATGTATTACATCAGAAACAATATCAGAAGCCCAATTTGCTCATTTTGAAGGCTTTCCTTAATGATTCTTTAGGAAGTCTGACAACAGGCTGACTGGAAGGATGTTGTGATGAGATTATAATGTCAGTAAACTTGTTACAGGACAACAGTGAATTACAGCCTTGTTCTACTCTGGTGACTATTCAATTCAGTTTAGTGGACGCAGAGGATTTGTAGTCATTTACTACAAATTATGTACAGGAAGCTTTCAACTGAATGCATAGTTGAGGCAATATAGCATAGTTTATTATACCTACTTTATGACTTAATATTTGGATCAAAGGACTATAACTGAGTTTTACTGGGCGAGATGCAGTAGCTAAATCCTCATAACTTACCGACATCCCTTATATTAAGGCGTAGTCGTGATTTTAAACACATAAAGTGCACCTGTATCATGGAGACACAAGCAGGTGAAGAATGAGAAAGGACGTCCCGACACACGGGCGCACACACACTTTCCACAGGGGGGCCTTTGTTTCACGATAATGATGATCATTATTCACTTGAGCTGAAGGCCGGAGGACAACTGGACAGCATGATGCCATTTACCTGGAGATCTGCCCTCCACGCGCGGCGATCGCAACCACGCAAAGATAGCAAGCAGCAATGTGCATAATTCGTTTAATAGGAAAAAACTTTACAACTTTACTCCATCACCTGAATAAGAGTAGTTCTTGCTGGAACTCATTTTGCAAAGCCAGACACGAGGCATTTTTTTATAGGCTGGATGACAGTACACAGCAGGAGTGAATTCTAATGGGGATTAAAAGCAAAGCTGCAGCAGTCACAGCAGCTCTGCGTCTGTCTCTCTGCCTGCCACTGTATTTCCTGTGTGTGTGTGTGTGTTTGTGTCCCTGTGCACATGTGTGTGCTTATCCTGCAGACTCCTGGATGTTTTTGTGTGTGCTTGCGCTGTGAGAGACATTAAATGCAGCTCTCCCGGCACTACGCGGCCGGCCCGGAGCTGTGTTTCCACATAGTTTGAGTGACAGAAGGTCAGGGGGAAAAGGGAAGGATGTGAAAGCCTCGCCGCTAAACGGAACGCTGGATGTTCGGCTGCTTCGTGTCAGAAGCGTTTATCTCAGCGAGCTGCATAATCGCAGAAATGATTCGCGTCACACACACACACACAGATACAGGCAACACACCAGCGTTCATTAGGTTGCCATATGCTCAGCGCTCTGAGGTTTATAGCTATAATTTATCTTCACCGAGGAGGATTTCTCTTATCGTGTTAACAGTCTTTTCTGCCTTTTCTGCCTTTACAACATTGACTTGTTCTGCTTTATTCTTACATATAAGAATATATAACACACACGCTTTGAACTTGGTCCCCCACCGTAGGAAATAAAGATAGTTGGTTTCTTTTTTGTTTTAACATGTGATTTACACATTCAATAACACATTAAAACCTCATATCATTCAAATGAAATCCCAAACTTAATGATTGTCTATATCACACCAGTGAGGAAGAGCAGGCACAGCCTATTCGTTTGAATCATAGACGTTCCTACGTGGTGTCTCTGACCCTTTCAGGAGGTGCCGATTTATGTGCATTGTGTGCATTAAACACAGAACTCACCGTGACTCTGGGCGGCAAACAACGTGCACTGATTGTGTTCCGGGCACGAACCCAACTGAGGGAAACGTCAAAGGCCAGTGGGACCGTTTTTGCTCGGATGAAAACAGCAAACAACAGCACCGGTGAGCGGGCCGGCTGGTCTTCATCAAGGAGCGAGGAAGCCAAAACGGAGATGTGTAATCCAACAAGGCCGGTGCTTCGATAATGCCATTCAGATGAGCTTAGTATATTCAAATGTTACGTAACTCCAAGTGCCGTGAATGTCTCCAGGCCCTGCGCATGTGGGTGTTGGGAGTTTTTGCTACTGTGTAACTCTGCTTGCTGTTTTCCATACGTTGTCGTCGCCGGGGGGGGAACCGTCGAGTGGTGTGTTTGTATTTCATTTAAATAAGCAGGATACTGTGTGTATCGGGGAGAGTCGTGTGTGCCGGCCGGGGGGGGGGCGTCCTTAAAAAGAGCTTCGTTAGGGAGGGATTCCCTCACTGCGGAGGCCACAACGTCACGTCCGCAGACAATGAGGGGCGGCGGCGTGCAGAGATAAGACCACCTACCAAGTAAACACAGGCGCACACTCTGCCATAAAGCCACATGTGCGGACCGACGCACAGAAGGATACACACACAATGCATCTGGTTGGAACCCATTGTGTGCATGGAGATGCGGAGCCAATGTTGGCTCTGAATGGGTGGATGGTTCGGGACAGTGTTGTTGTTGTTGTCGTCGTCGTTGTCGTTGCAGCCACACACTTGGCGGAGCAGCGTCCTCATTTATAAACATTGTTTACACGCAAGACAGATAAAGAAATGTTGATGCCACCGGCCGCAGGATGGCATCAACCAAACACGATATGTGAGAGGATGCACCTCGACGTAAGCTCACCCGCCGGTGCAGCCTGATCTCCAAAACCTGTTCGTAAAAATGTATACAAAAATCTTGAACATACAAATTCGTAGTGATACATACGAATTAAATACGGACTGCAACTGATGACGTCACCCTATTCAAAGTGAATGGGGACCTGCGCCCCGAATACACACTTTGTGAAGTCTAACGATGTAAAATAAACGTGTTATGACTGCATTTGTAACGAGAAATCAACGTTAACTTGTAAGAATACAATACTAACCCTAACTCCCTCAAAAAATCCAACATGGCGGAGAGACGTTCACTCAAGAATCCGACATGATCTGCCATGTTGTTCACTCAAGGGGCGTGGTTAACCTTAACGTTTAACCTTAACGTTTGTTCACGTTTTACTAGTTGCATCCAGATTGGGATGAAACATTAGTACACGGTTTGGCAGACTAACTTTCTTTTATCTTTTTTTTTTTTTTTTTTTTTTCAATACTGACTGTCTGTCTGTCTGCAGCCTATATCTGTAAATCCTCACTCGGAGCAGTATATACTGCACCCCGAAGCGCTGTCAATCCTCTTACGTCCCCTCGAGGTACACTCACACATACTTCAGCTTAAGGATCACGGGCAGTATGAGGCGAGGAGTGCTGGTAAGGCGTTAAGAATCAGAGGACAATTGTGTAAAAAAAACAATCAATGTTTTTGCAGAAATACTTATCTGGTAATATTCCAGACGACTTTATGGCTATGAGATGCTGACACATCGTCCTTTATGACTGGCTCAATATTGAACAACACGTGTCAAATGGAAGAGAAGGATAACGCGAGGAGGAAAATGATATGTCCCCATGTTATTGCATATTGTCGATACGAGTTTCAATTAATAAACTTTCTGTATTTGTTCTCAGGTTACTTTCTGGAGTTGCTGAACCGGTCTGCGATTAATCTTCAGGAGACCTTCCTCGCAATTTATGGCTTATTATATTCCCAGAATGCCGAGGTCTTCTCTGACCTGTACAGCGATTTGAGGCACTACTACCGAGGCTCCAACGTCAACCTGGAAGAGGTGCTGAACGAATTCTGGGCCAAGCTCCTGGAGAAGCTCTTCTTCCAGGCCAACCAGCAGTATCACATAGGTACGACACTTCATGTCACGGGTCTTGCCGCCTGAGACCAGTAGAAATGCACAGCACATAAGATAAGGAAGGTAACAGCTGACATCTTTAAATTCCACCCGTTGCAGGTGAGGATTACCTGGAGTGTGTGTCCAAGCAGATAGACACACTGCGGCCCTTCGGAGACACGGCCCGCCTGATGAAGGTGGCGGTCACACGCACATTCGTGGCAGCGCGCTCCTTCGTTCAGGGACTGGGGACCAGCGGGGACGTGGTGCGCAAAGTGTCCCAGGTAAGAACCTCTCCCATTTTCTCCCCCTTTTTCATATTAAATGATCCGCTCGGTAAATGTGATTAGTTTCCTTCCCTTTTAAATTGCAGTCCCATTTTCCACTTTGGATGAAAGTGTCTAATGGCCTCAAATTCCTTTTTCGCTGTTGTCTTATCTGCCGCAAAGCTAATAATCTCTGGTCCCGCCGCGCTTTCATTAGTATTCTTGTGTTGAGGGTATCCATTATTACACATTATTCATCTCTAGGCCCTGCTTTATTTGATCACCCAAACACACACACACACACACACACACAGGCAGGTGTTTACCAGTCCATGCTCATAGTATGAAGCATACTAGGCTCCATAGAGCACCCCCCCCGGCTCCGACCAATCAGGCCCTGCAACCACAGTTAATGTCAGCTCCCTGCTGAAAAATGTGAGCTGTGGGGAGGGTCAATATCTCCCAGGAGAAACTGTCCGCTAAGACAAGAGTGAGGTTAAGATCAGAGCAACACTTGGAAACAACGTCAGCTCCTGAAAAGGAGATGGCCGGCGCTGATGCACCGCTGAAAGATCGAGAAATACTCAGTCATTCTTTGAGAAAACAACACTGCGTTAGAGATGAATATTAAATGACTAATCTTTCGCGCCTCAAGGTCGCGCCTCCTGAGCACGTAGAGGGAGAAAATAAACAAAAAACACATGACAATGCTGGTTGAGGTGCTACTACACGACCACAAGGCCACCCAGTTGGATGCGTCAAAAGAAAAAAGAATCAATATGATCCTTCACCCTTTCACACTGATATATGTGCTCTGACAAGCACTGTGGGTGGCTCATACTTTACGGTTTGCCGGCATCAAATGGGAGACAGTCTGGCTGTCTCTCTCTCTCTCTCTCTGCGGTCCAGAAAATGGGTGCAACGTCTCACGCCTACACATAGAGGACCAGAGGATGTTTCAGTGGAGTGGCCCATCTAGAGCCACAGGGGAGCAAAATCTGGGGGGGGGGGGGGGGGAACAAGAGCACAGCTAGAGTGGGGCAGCAGGAGGCTGCAGTGACAGTGACAACCCGAAGTAGACACAGATACAACTCAACATCTGCTCAAGCCAGCAAAACCGGGGAGTAAGAATAACAATTAGCGGGGGCATCATGCTGATTTGAGTCCCGCGCTCATCTCTGAAACCGATAAGCAACTCTCGCACACCGGAGCGCTTAAATGGTACGGAAACACGCGCAGACACCTCGTCGTGGCAGCATTTCCTTCTAACGGTGATGAACCTTTTTCCCTGTGTGGCTGCTTGTTGTTACGTATTTCCTGCCCGATGTGTCCATTAAACAAGGCTCGCTCGGGGACACGTGTTCACAATTAGCACGGCTTTTACGAAGATACAAAATGTCGTCCCGGCGCTAACACCAGGCCACGGGGAGGGGGGGGGGGGTCGCAGGCTGGGCGCGCACTCATCGGAGGTCTTAGGAGGGAAGAGAAGAGCGCACCGCATCAAGCGATGAGTCAATGGGTCCATCTGCGTTAATGGGAATATCCGAGTCAGGACCGTTTAACTGCGCGAGGAGACAGAACCGGCTAACTGTTGTCTGAGTCAAGTCGGGCCACGTTGGAACAGTTTGACTGAAGCAAGTTCAGACGACAACCAAAATGTTTAGTTTCAAATTCAGAATCCGTGTGTCAGTCTGTGTTGCGTCTCTTCCCCAGCGCACACACTCAGCGCTGTAGTTATGCAGATGGTGCCATGATGGGAACAAATGAGACAGTGAGAAAAGGGGAAGAACTCCAGGATCCTCTCTTGTCCCTTTTCCCCTGCTCATTCATTTCATTTCTCTTGATATTTCCCAGATATGTGCTGCTGTCCTCGGTCTCATTTTTGGGTGAATAGCTTGGTAAAGTAGTTAGAATCTTAGCTTTCTCCTCCCTTTTCCCCCGTAACTTCTCCTTCGATTGATTGGGCTCTAATGAGGCAACCGGCTCCTGTTTATAGCAATGAATCGGCACTTAAAGGGACTTAAAGTTGGCCACACGCTGCTCAGGGGGGGTATCACAATGGTTGAGTGGGAAGCTGGAGGGCATAACATTACTTTTACTGATAATCCCTCCAATGTCTCCCGAGGAAATATTTGTGTTTGGTACCAACTCAGAAGCAACATAATATGAAAGAGTAGCCTGGAAGTGGGCTGAGAATAAGACCAAGACGCATGCGAATCATTTGAGGAGAAAAAAAGTCTTTCTTTCTGGCGCGGTATTAATTCTTCCCTTGCTTTGCTCGCTAGTTGGTGTCCCCCTCAACTCTTTTTTCCAGACTGTTTTATTCCCTTGAGAAAGGGGAGTGGAGGAAGCAGGCCACGCGCCACGTGGCTCGCTCTGGAGGCAAGGAGGCTGCGTGGTCTCGCTCCATAACACAACGGCCAGAGGTGGCTCACCCTGTATGTCCCTGGTGATTAGACAGAAGAGAGGAGGGGGGAGGTCTGTGGGGGGGGGCTTCATGCATGATAGCCGTAAGCAATATTGCAGCCACGGGCAGGTGGTATGTTGTGAACGCGAGGCTACGGGCCAGTGATCAAAGAGAATATTTTAAACATGCAACGTCCATTTTTCTTATATATATATATCTTTTATAGAGGATTTAAATCAAGTCAGAGATTGTGTGTGTGTAGACATGTGAGTGCATCTGCCTCTATGTGTGTTATTTGATTTGAACTGCTAAGTGGATTGTCTGAAAATGTGTCTGTAACAGTTTTGGTCAACCAATTAAGCGATTCATTAAGCAACAAATCTACGCTGTGGTTTAATCACTTCAGGACGTCCCTTTGAGCTCCCGCGTAAATAAGATGGGTATAATTATTCCTCTCCTTGAGTTTATCGGAAAAAAGAATCAAGTCATTCATAGATAATGAAGATAATCCTTATTTGCTGCTGTTTTCAGTGCCGCAGCTCCAAAAACACAGAGGGTTGTCAACAATTCGCACCATGGAAGTGTTACTATCCTCTTTGTGTCCATTGTGCGCGACCCGGCACTGATACTGTATGGGTGATGCAACAGAAAGCAGATTAATGACAGTCTGTCCTTAAACAAGTATTTCATGAACACCACCTCAGGTTATTTCACTGCCCTGCCAACGCCCTCGCAGCTTTTTAAACATCTTCCTGGTTTTCAGGGTTTTGCTCCACTCATCCCTGCACACTCCCTTCCCTCACTCATCTCTCTCACCAAAGAAGCATTCGTCTGACTCATCCTGGGCTAATGAGTGGGGTAGGGTAAGGATGGGAGGAAGGGAGAAAAGGAAGGCAGGAATGGAATCTGACTCATGTCTCCCATGACTTGAGATTAATCCTGGGAATGTGCCTATTGCTTTTCTCTATCCCTTATTAACTGTATACTGTCGCTGTTGTGCAACTGGCAATAATTACCTACTTTTATTGATTTATTGCTTTGAATAGCTTTTATTTTGAAGATAAACTACTTTTGCCCAATGTGGATCAAATTTGATTACATTCAATATAAATGATCCTTGTGGGGGGAATTGGTTGGTTCCAGCCATAAATAGTCATTGAACACAGCCAACAACATTTTAAAAACAGAACTCAATAAAAGTTGTACGAATCACTTTTCTAACACAAGAACTGATGATACAAAGTAATGGGTGAGAAAGTGTGGATGTAAAAATGGAGAGAAAGATCCCCTTCATGTCCACTGGGGCAGACTAGCTTCACTGAACTACTCACAGGTCTCCAGGTAGTTCAAGGAATCAGTGAATTATTTTTCCCACCTGATCTTTATTGTTGTCCAAATTCCACTGTATATTTGTCCAAAGCTGGTTTTAACTGTGACTTTCCTGTTGCAAGAACCTTTTCCAGGAAAATCATCAAGATGGCCCAGATGTCAGCTTAGGGGAGCTTTGTATGCGGAGCTGTGCTCGATCCACCTCTCTCTCTCTCTCTGTCTTTCTCAGTCTCTCTCTTTATGTTTCTCTCTCTCACACACACACACACACACACTTCCTGAGGTTTTGTATGCATAGCTGTACTCTCTTGTGAACAGAGCTTACTGGTATTAACCCAGTTTTACTTTTCACGCATTAGGGCCCTTTCCTGGGGAACGGCCTTATGGGATATAGAGTGAAATGGAAAAAGCAGGAACGATGGTGTGAAAGACTCAGAGTACTTGTATGAATGTCAGGGCCTTTTTCATCGCATGTGAAACGAAGAGCCAATTCTAACCAAAGTGGTTTCCAAGGAAACCGTGCTCAATGAAAGTCTGGCGCAAACCAAAAGTAAAAGGTCACAAAAGGGAGGTGACCTCCCGCAGTTCTGCAACTCTCATTGTCTGGTTATAGAGAAATGATTCCTATTAGACTGTATGTAACTTTCCTGTGCTTGAGCAGCGGGGCTTTTGCTGGGAAAGTGGCCCGATGTGCAGTTTGATCATCTGCTGTTTAGTCAATTACGTCGCGTAATTCAGTTTTTCACCCAGGTGCTGTGTGTGTGTTTTTATTTGCGTCCTACCCCAGGTGCAGCTGACCCCGAACTGCATGCGGGCCATGATGAAGATGACTTACTGTCCCCACTGCCGTGGCGTGGCCTCTGCCAGGCCGTGTGCCAACTACTGCAGCAACGTCATGAAAGGCTGCCTGGCCAACCAGGCCGACCTCGACACCGAGTGGAAGCATCTGGCAGGTTGGGGAGCCACGTGTTTGTAGCATGTTACTTTGTTAGAGTGTACACGGCAGCGATGTTCTGCCGGCGAACAACCTGTGAAACATTTCACACACTTTCTTTTTGCTAACCGCATTCCCGTCTTTGTAGAGACTCTGATACAGGTGGCTGCAGGCTTTGACGGTCCGTCGGGTGTAGAAAGCGTGGTCCTCTCCCTCCCCTCCCGCATATCAGAGGCCATGTTAACCATGGCGGAGAATATGGCGACCATCAACAGCAAGGTCAGAGCACACATTGGTACTCACATTTGGCTGTGCACTGCTGACTAACCCACACAAACCATTTCACTGCAGAGGACATCATGTCGGAAATACATGAAACGATAAGATGTTGAACCACAATGTTGGAAACGTGTCAAAACCAACATTGCAACCAAACATCTCCAGTATCATCACTTTTAAACAGTAACGATCACAAACTAAATTTACATTGTATGTACGTTAAATTTACATTGTATGTACATTAGGAATTTCCTTTTCTGATGCCTTAAGCTTAAAATTGTTTTAATGGTTTAATGTGAATTTTAGTGTCAAATTGCCTTGTTGTTAAAATGTTCTATACAAATAAATTGTATCATACAGAATTTTATAATGTGGGTTTCTGAAGAGCTTTTTCTGAAGGGAAACTGATGCATTGATGTAATTCTGTTTCTTATAACCTCTATCAGCAAGCGAATGGAAACGCCTCAAGATAGACTAAAAACAAAATCACTTCAATTGTTGGCACTCAATTTTAAAAAGGCCCCAAAAGCCTCTTGTTTATGTCTTGCCAGGGGGTCCTACATGAAAATATTCAGCCAAAGTTATAACAGTTTTATTGTTTTTAACAAAATGTTGTATTCGGTGTTTGTTTCTGTCCACACAGCAAAATAGCTGCTCATTAACATTTAATGTTCATCTAAAAGACAGATCCTTTCCTCTTGATTAAACAATAGAACGAGTAGTGCGGAAGCAACACATCTCATCTAATGATACACATCATCATCATCATCAGTTTGTCGTCTGAACACATTACCATAATCATACCAGTGCATTAGCGCTGTTGCGATGCACCAGGTAGAAGCGAGCGTTCTCTTCACTGTTTAATGGTGTTTGAGCAACAGTTATGTGTCGTTCCCCTAAAGGCAGCCACTCTGACTGGGTTGTTTTGGTGAAGGTAGAAAACTATGCAGGCGGGCGAGAGGAAAGGCAAAGCGCCCTCTGTGCTGGTTTGCCGGGAAAGAGGGGGGGGGGGCTTGCGGACGGCCTCTGACCTCGCTCGATATGGTAATCACACGTAGCTTGGACTTCTGATCTATATCTCTTGGCACAAGTGCCGTGTTATTCCCAATTCGTGTCTGCAGTCTGGTATCATGGCCGACGCAGTGCGGGACGAATGATCTCCTGTTTACATAACGCGCTGACGTCAAAAATCATTCGCTGTGTGACGGCGGGCGTCGCGTCCCCAATGGGTCGACTCCGATCTTCAGCGTATATATTTTTCCAATTTTAGAAGGTCTGCCAACAGATATTGCAAATGTAAAGTATTCTCAGTATACAAATAAATAGATATTTAGCATCTTTAATGGAGGAAGTGTGGGTTCCACTGTATCTACTTAAAAACCTCCAAAAACAGATGTAGAATCCGCACTGTTCATAAGAAATAGTGTGTGAAGGTTTGACACTACTGTGTGTTTTGTTGTCCATTAATCAACCTGCCGTGAACACACAACACCGAGGGGTCACGCTGACGGACATGACGGGAATCTTAAGAGCGGATTCATTTTGTGTGAAGGTTCAAAGGCTCGGGGCTCCTCTAAGCGGGCCAGATTGGATGACAGATTGACTGCGGTCTCACTGTATTCCCTGAGCTCCATTAATACATTGTAAGCCCCGCAGGGACAAGTAGTGATTTCTTAGCTGTGAATCATTCCACTGCAGCAATGCTGTGATTGACTCTAGGGGTCATTCAAATAACCGGCACACTTGTGGCTGTTGGCTTTTAAAAGTAGAGACTTGTGTGTGGGTGTGTGTGTGTGCGCTTGTATTGTCAAAGGGACTTATATATATAACAAACACAATGCTGTGCTGAGGCACTGTGGCTTCTATCAACAGATCCTTGTTACCCTCTTAAGAACAGCGTACTGGTAAAAAAAAAAAAGCACAGAAATCTGTTTCACAACTTGTTTTCAAAACTGAGTAAAGTACAACTTTCTTGAGTCAACTGAACTTAATTTCCTCATTTGAGACATTTGATGACCCCCCCTCCCTCCCCCCTGTCCACATTGTGTTAACAAAAGGTCTTTCCTTCACTCTCCTTTGCCCCAGTTGTTCCAGGCATGTGGACACCCCAGAGATGGGCGAGCCGGCAGCACGGGAGCCAATGCCGTGAAAAGGGGGGAGGCTGCTGGGGAGAACAGGTTGGGGACCAGCTCGAACAAAATGGCCAAACTGGTGAGTGTGTGTCCTTGTAGTTGCTCGGCGTGCGGCTCATTGCCATAACACAGACCGCTACGGGGGGGTGAGAGGAGGAGAAGGAATGCGTGTGCGGATGAACGAGTGAATGAGCATCGCGGTTTTCGACTTCTTTCGAGTGCAGTGATGTCGAACAAAGCTTAAAAGCTCACGAATGGGCTCTTCCCCAGGTGTCTGATGTCACCGCGAGACTGAGGGACATGCAGCCGTACTGGGTTTCCCTCCCCAGCATGCTGTGCAGTGACAGAGTTGCCACTGGAACCGCGGCCGAGGATAAGTGTTGGAACGGCATGAGTCGTGCCAGGTAAAGGACATCAACCCTTAAAGGGGACATGAAATTAGAAGAACGGACAATATAATCGGTCTGTTTTAGGCAAGACATGAACAATGGGACTTTTCTTTTACTCAGTCGTGTTATAATGTTTTTTTTTATTACAGGTGAGAATCCGTCTGAACCCCTTATAATAATGTGACTAAAGCAACTAAAGCAACGTGCCTTCATCTGTGTCCAATTACCTGTGTCGAGAAGCTGTAAAACCTTTGTGACATTGTGATTCACGTGTAAACTGAAATGTTCACCCGTGCCAGGTACCTTCCCGAGGTGATGGGCGACGGCCTCGCCAGCCAGATCAGCAACCCGGAAGTGGAAATCGACATCACCAAACCGGACATGACAATACGCCAGCAGATCATGCAGCTGAAGATCATGACGCACCGCCTGAGGAACGCTCTTAACGGCCAGGACGTGGACTTCCAGGACACCAGTGAGTACTTTTACCACCAGCACGTTTAAGTACAAGGTGCAGAGTAAAGGAACTCACTCCTCAGGTTGTAAGAACACTAGCAAAATGAGAAAAGCACAATGCAATGCATACGATGTTAGTTTAAAAACGCGAGGCCTGCATCAAAGTTTTTTTATTCTTTTTTTATTTTTTCATAATCAAGGTCATATTTCCTACCACATGACGCTGTCGTTGAAACTCACATCATGTTTCTGGTGCCGTTTGTGCCTTTTGTGATTTTCTATGTATGAGTATGTGCCGATGGTGCATAAGTACATAATCGACACACTTGTTCATTGCATGTGTGTCTTTCCGTCGGACCTGTAGGCGATGACGTCAGCGGTTCGGGGAGCGGAATGTGCGGCGACAATGTGTGCCACCGCGTGGCGCGTCCCGTGGCCCCCGTCACCAACCGACCCAAATACGCCGTCCCGCCACAAGAGGAGGTGAAGAGCTCCAGCCGCAGCCAGAACCTCCCCGGCGTCACCGATTTCCTGCTACCGTGGCTCATCTGCCTGCTCCGCCGATAATTTACAGGAGGGAATTCTACCGACCGAGACTGAGTTTGGGACATGGTGGGGGGTGGGGAGAGAAGAGTCTGGAAGGGGGGGGAGGAGAGATGGTGGGAGTTAGTTACTTTGCCAAAACTAAATAAGTAAAAGGAAACAAAAAAAGAATCACTTGGATGCACTTGGTGTTGGTTTTGGGATTAGAACAGAATGGGTTATTCACACGTTTTGGGGTTCCGCTCGTTCCTTTTTGCTATTTTATGACACCATTAGAGCTGGTCTTTTCGCATCTTCTAATGATTTGTTTCTGGTGTTTGGGTTTTCTGAGATTATATCTGTACCTAAAACATGTGTAAGACTATATTGCTAACAGTATGTTGGTGTTGACACCATGGGGAGAGGGAGAACGGGGCGCTCATACTTTAAAACAGCACTTATGTTCAGTAGAATCATTTATTTATCAATAAGCCCACTACGCAAACCACAAACTTAAATGAAATACAGTATTGATGACTTTTAAAGCGGGGCGATGTGGACAGGATGACCCGGCAGACCTCACGACATCAACTCTGACCCACACTCGCACGGCGTAAGCACCTTTTCGCCATTTCATCATTGTAACAAAACCCCTGATCACATTCACACCGACATGATCGTCTAATGTGGGAGAAACGTGACACCGTCTGCCACTCCATCCGTCCACCCCCCGCCGACCTCTGACCCCAACTCCTGCCGGGGCGGAATCTCCCTCTCTGCAGACCCCGCTGGCTGCGTAGGATCAACCCCGCAGTCCGGTGTGAGCAAAACGCAACGGTCTCAGGTGACAGCAGCTCCCCCCGCCGCCACGGAGCGCTGCATGCGGAACGGGGGGTGGGTGTCGTTCGGTTTAGGGTTGCATTCGCAGCGACGGATCGGCGGTTTGTCATCATTTTAGAAAAGGCCTGGCCCGGAAAACACAAATGTGCACAGAAGCACAAGCGGAAGCACCACCGTCCCGTCCCGTAGCGCTTCTTTCTTTCCCTTCTTTCATGTGCACAGCGGAGCTAAAATGACGTTTTAATGATCTGTAGAAAGGCCCCACCGCTCCTGTGATTAGCATCGTGATTGCAACTTGCGGTGTAATGTGTTTTTGTTTAGTTGCAGCAATGACCCGTATCGCGGTGAAAAGCCACGCAGTCCTCCTGTTTGAATGGGAGACACTGTGCAAATGTCTGTTTCTTCTTTCTTGTTTTCTAGTAAGAAAATAGCCAACTAAGCATTCAACACATAATAACATTGTTTTGCTCTTTGTTTCATTCATCTTCCGTCACGGCGTTTCCATATCTGCCTTCCACTTTCTCTCTCTCTCTCAGTGCCTCTTAATTGCCAAACCCTCCGAACCCCCCACCCTCCCCGCCGCTCATCAGTCATACCGACCTTTAGAGCGTCCCGCATGCTTCTCCATGGCGGCAGAGCAAAATGACAGTGACACAGTGCTTCGTTAGGTGTCACCCTTACTGGGAATGTTGTGGGAACATTTTAATTCTGAAGAATTCTCGTTTACGAGCGTTGTGTGCAATGGGGGAGACGCTTGCACGTGTGGTAGCTGGAAGCTTTACACAAATGGCACAGAGCACATTGAAAAATATTGGACTAACACTGTCCGATTGAGCGTAATTGAACGGACAGCAATAAGAGGTTAACATTGCTCATTTTTTTTATGACCGCTACTGCAATAACTCCCGATCCGGTTGATGGTGGACACGTGTTTTAAAGTAGACTTCAGTTGTATACTAGTATTGTGAAATAACGACATATGGGGGTAGGTTTTATTCCTTTTATCAACAAACGAGAGATCCAGTTGGTGAGGTCTCTGTCAAAGCTTCTGTTAATGTTAATTACTTGCTCTGAAAAAAGGTGAGGTTGTTACGGTTAGCTGACATGTTACTTTGGAGATATTTTCCTGTTTTTGACGTGCTTAATTAGCGGATGTTAGTTCAAATCTGCCTGTGACGGCCTTTGACACTCATGACAGAGCATGAGATGGTCCAGTGGGGGGGGGGAAATATATACATATTCTGATCAAAGAACAATGAACAAGAAAAGAACAGAACACGTGGATTTTTGTGACCTTCTAGAAAAAGAAAACGAAACGTGAAAATGAAAATGAATCCCACAACGCGCCCAGTAAAGAGAAACGACTGCGACTGTGATGGTGACATTCCAATTCAAAGACGACGACTCACAACTTCAGTTTCAATGACTGCCTCACAATGTCATTGCCTGAGATTTGCACAACCCCCCTTCTCTCCTCAACCCCCCCCCCCCAACCCTCCTTTTGATCTCATTCATTTGTTGCTCAATGTTCCCCCCTCCCTTTTATAAAACCTGCACTTTTCATGCGGCCAATAAATGGCATTGTCTGCACAAAGACATCACGAGATGGTCGATCGATGCGCGAGTCAACGCCTCCCAGTGTAACCAGTATTGATTGGGAACGTGTGTATGCAGATGGATCCGGATCCCCGGCAACGCGCCTCATGTTCAACGCTGGTGAAACAGTGTGAAAACAAAGCAACTGTGTGTGAGAGGGGGGGGTCTGGGGGGGGGAGAAAGATTTGTCCAGAGCGCTGATCTGAAATCAGCTTATGCACCTCGATCTGAAAAAGGCAAAGCTGGTTGAACCATTTTAAAGAAGGCTTTATTCTACACTGAGTTGAATACGCAAGGAATTTCTTAAAAGGTGCCAATATATGAGGAAAAAAAAAAAGTCCTTTTAATTCTCTTGTTTTTATGTACTTTGGTTTTTGTTGTTTTCAGAAATCTATGGAGAGTTTGTGCTTATGGTGAAAATAGATGCCAGAAGGAGGTCGAAAAATACAAATGTCTCATTTGCTGTTGTACCTTAAATCTTGTGTCAATTATATACATTGTAAGATTTTCAACATGTTTCTGTTTCTTTGTGTGTGTGTGAAAATGAAGCGCTCTGTCCATATTGTTTCCCAAAGCGCATCGGGGCAAACTGCCACCTCAAGAGGGCCAATGCACTCCAACGATGATGTCAGAGGTGACAGCTGTTGTCTGGCGTTGCCATGCAGGAGGAAAGAAGAAGAAAAAAAAATCGTGCCACATGTGTTCACAGAACACTAAGTGCTTTGTCTTGTTTCTGCGTGCAGACAATGGGATGATTGACCCCCCCCCTTGACCCTCAGGATGGTTTTCAAACAAGGTGTAGGTACTTGACCGTGATCCTGCGGGACACTGAAATGCCACGCTTCACATTCAGCTTTTGCTATGTGTGCACTGTGCTTCCAGGATGGGGAAACGAAGCCACGGGCTTTGTGGTTCTCGCGGTGGGACCTGCTGCTTTCCTATGTCCGTCATGAGGGTAGAAATTATAGGAGTGAGAAGAAAAAAAAAAAAGAAAAACATGCAGTTGAGTCAGCGCAGCGGTCTTTAAGCAAGCTTATGAATATTTAAGTACGTCAAAGTGAATATCAAGGGCCACCCTATCTGCCTCTCAACTGGGCTGAAATACAGGCAGTCTGTCCTCGTAGGTCGACCTTCTTCACGCCGGCGTCTGTTTGCTGTCACAACAGGGCCGTTCAAAGACACACTGTGTCTGAATAGATTCAACTATCCCACTTCAAATGGATTTCATGATCAATCTCCTGCTTAATTTATTTCTACCTAGGTTATGTGGCCCATTTCCCTCCCTGCAGTGAGACAATTGTATCGTTCAATTTCCCCCGAAATGATTATTTATCCCTCTGCAGCCCCCCCCCCTCCTCCTTCTGCTTCTATAAACACAAACAGCGAGACACATTCACATCGCCAGCTATTGATTGTGTCTGAAGCTTTTCATCTTCTCGCCTCGCCAGCGCTCACGACTGCGCCACAGTTATTCTCATCCGTTTGGCTTTCAGCTCGGCCCTTTGGTTCACTGCACTCTCGTGAGCGACCGATCCGCGACCCTTACAGGGTCTCCGTATTTGAAATATCACCTCGAAAGGGCCTAAAACACTTGTCGGTAATATCTCCTCAGCTCAATGCATCGCGATTTGCTGTTGCGCGTCTGGAGCGGTTTATGGTAACATGTTGGCAGGCAATTACATTGCAATGTCTCAGAAAAATACATTAGAACATGAGGTACTATATAAAAGGTTTGAATCCATTCCAGTAGCTGAAGAAGTTGAGAATAATTCTGTGGAGAAGTGCAGAACATTTACAAAATCCTTCATGGGTATAGTGTTACAGTAAGGAGATGTTCGATAGAACAAAAATAGTTCTTGAAGTGATTTTCCTTTTGTCTCTGCTGCTTCATTACGACTACTGGTGTGTGGAAGAAAGAATACATGTTTTCGGATTAAAATGCCAAGAATTTAAATTGCATATGCATATATTCGAAATGCAAGTTGTCATTTTCAGTGTCCACTCTGGAAGTTCAGCTCTGGCAGGGACTGTTCACACGGCTGCGAATGTGAGCTGCACCCTTTTGCCTTTTGGCTCGCCAGACATATTCTGTCACCTTTTTTTGTTACTCTCTGATCTCCTTTGTAATTGAACTAAAGCCTCTCGCTCCCGCTCCACTTTTCTTCCTACATTATCAAGCCGCCTTGTTATTTGGTTTTACATCGCTACTTGCATCTGAGATCAAGGGCTTCACATCATTGCCTCTGTCAGATGACTAACTAGAAGGAGCTTCTCAGCATGTGCACATACTGCCACCCAGTGGGGTCTTAGTGCATTCAAGCAACAATTGTATCACTCCAAAATAAAAAAGTGAGGGACACACAATATATAACAATTAGAGGGACGTCATTTTTTTGTTCATTGATTTTCAAGATATGCATTAAAAATCAACCATCTATTACAATGATTATATGCAAACATATAGGCTTCGTATGCATACCCATGCATATACAGACCTTATGCATACACACATAAACACAGCATATGCATATACACACATATACATAAACCTAAACATATAAACAAATATACGCACATAAACAGATCCAGATAATAATACAAATAATATT